CACACCGCCATGCGGTAAACGGACTTTTAACTTCTCCGATGTACGCGCTGCGATCAATACGTATAACTCACTCAAAGCGAGCAGAAAAAGTATAGCAAACACTGAGTATTTCAAAGCCATTTTATTTTATAGTCACACACTGAATCAAACGTTTCTAACACGTTGGTGGTCGGGTAACGACTGACACTTGTTGGGGCTCTTGAAAGGCTTTTAAGATAAGCGTGCTGTTTGCCAAATTCGCCCTCCGTAGTCCGCTATCGTTATCACAGCTGAGAGCAGTATGAAGTAGACACTCATTGAGCCGTGTACTCAGTAACCGGTTCTAACTGTACAATTTTGTATTACTCTTTCTACTAGTTTCGTTGTAATGAAAAAGGAATGCATAGTAGTCTGAATTGAATTACATTTCTTGTTGTAGAATATTGTTAGCCTCACCTTACACGGCACGCTTCACTGCAGGGTATTTCATCATACAAAATTATAGATTCAAACTTACTTAATCACTTATGATTGAATACTCTTCTCAGTGCATTGTGTTACTTACCTGAGGATGGTGAGCAAACATGATTGTAATTTGAGAATTCTGTTTTAAGTAAAACTGTGTCTGACAACGATTATTATTATTATATTTAATTACACTACAAATCCAAAAAGGAGGATCCAATGACCTTGATAATGAATTAAGTGAATAATTTTGACAGTAGTTACTCAATTTTGGCATTTGGTTAATAAAAAAGTTTATTTGTTCTCTGTTTGATCGTTTGACTAGTAAATGACAGAGATGAAAAGATACTTTTTGGTGTCTGTTTGCTCAGAATTTGGTGTGAAAAATGTTAATTTAGGTTTACAACACTGATTCGCTGGAAATTAGGCATAATCATTGATAAGTGACAGGTAAATATTATCCCTACTTGAGAGAACGCTGGGCTTCGCGGAAGCGGTCGCAAAAGCCTTTTAGTTCAATAACGATCGCAGGAGATCTAGTGATATCTTTTGCCCTAAGTAAGGTTGTTATGGGACTTTAACAAAACATTGCCCGAGTGGCGTTCATACTGTATGGTTGGAAATCTTAACACATGCCATTAGCAGTATGAAAGAAGATAAATTGGAAACCACTCAACACTTCCTTTTTCTAACTAGCGTTTGGGAGGTCAAGACTTAAGCACTTGGGAGCGCATACCTTCAGACATACCACCGAAGTGGCGGGAGTGGAATTTAAATGCCATACAAATTTGTATTGGCTACCAAGAGTTTTGTTAATTTATAAATTCGAACACAGGAGTTCTTATATTCTATGGGTACGCAAAGGACTACATATAGCAGTCCACAACTTAACTTAACAGTCCTTTTTATGTTCGTGTGAAATCGTGAGCTTGCGTCATGAGAGTCGTTTATCTAACTCTGTTAATGACTAAAACATTGAAAAAGTGTTTGAAAATCATCGTGTTACAATCAAAGAGATTAAAGAAGACAATATTTCTTGCGGATCGCATTTTGTTAACCTCTTGGTTATGAAACATGTCAGTGCTAGAGTCTCACCAAATGTTCTGAATGTTTTGCATATACGACTACGATTAGAGGTCGTTTGAAATCATAGATGCTTGAGAACGTAACTAAGGATCCCACATTCATCAAACCCATCATTACTGCTGACAAGACGTGGATTTATGAAAATGACATTGAAGCCGCCTAACAGACAAAAAGCGAAAAAGCAAAACTCAAGTTTTGAGCTATAATAACCTCTCTTCGCATGTATAAACTTGGAGCTAAAATTAAACCATCGCAGTACTCTTTCTTAAAGGGTCTTATTACCAATCGCAATAAAACGTAATTTATTAAAGTATGTGAGTAAATATAATAATTCAATTAAGCTTAAGCTATAAAATAGAATAAATACAACTGTGTTACATGTCAGGTGTTAATCTCGTTACGATAATGGATGTATCTATATATTAATATGTGCAATATATATATTGTGGGGTTATACTGAATTTGAATTTAAACTGCGCGCGTCGAAGGATTTGGAGAATTATTGTTTTCGTAGGTTGGTAGTACTGTCTGTCACATTTATGTCAAATTTCATGTCAAAATATTCATTAGTGTTGGAGACACGTGTCGTTTTGTGAGCTGCTAAAAGTGATATTTTCGTTTTTTGCGATGTCGAAATTTGTTGAGCAAAGAATTTGCATTAAATGATCATTTCGAAAACAACTCAACCCATATCGTTCCGCAACCACCGTATTCACCTGGCTGTTCACCAAGCTCAAAAGACCGCTCCGGGGACACCGTTTTTATACGATATTCAAGCCGGAGCGAAGACGGAACTGAAGGCCATCCCGGAAAGTGACTACAACCAATGTTTCGAAAATTGAAAAATCCGTTGGCATAATGTACTACGTCTAGTGGGGATTACTTTGAAGGGGATGAAATTGATTTGGAAAAATAAATAAAGAATTTTCAAAATAAATACAATGTCACCTTATTTTTTGGGTACAGGTATGATTACATAGTATAATAAAAATACATGAATCTAATTAGTTTACTGCTCTTAAATGAGTATTGTGAGTGATATTTAGTAATATTATTTTGGGCCGGTCGATTGGCCACCAAGATCGTATAATATCACATCGCTAGACATTTTCCTGATATGTAAAGCCCAAAGTCTATGCGGATTCAAAAAAATAAATGCCAAATAATGTTCTTTCGAGTGATAATAAACATTCTCTATTAACTTTGAAATTTCATTGTTTTTTCTTTAAAAAATTAGGGAACCTCGAAGAGGATCACTTTTTATATTAAAATTCAAACCTCTAGTCTGTGATGTCTGTTCTAAGCCGCCTAAAACAGTGGAAATACAATCACAGATATCAGTGAAAGTGATAATAATCCTGGGAGATATTTTCTCTTAAAAATAAAAGTAGTATATTAATAATTTAATATAACTACATAAAAATATATTCGAAAACTAGGGATAACAGATAAAAAAATTGAATTGAAAATGAGTTTAAAGGAATCTAGCAAGGGAGGATATGAATGATGAATGAAACCAAAACGAAATGTAGAAAAACTGTGACATTATTACACACAAAAGGAAATGACAAATAGCAGTTCCTCAACAACTCTATCATAAAAAGTTATAGTAGAGCTGAGGCCGGGGAAAAGATCGCCACTTCAGCTAATGAAGTCCGAAATGGTTTAAGGATAAAAATGGTAAATGAATGTATATGGGTGCAATATCAAGAAAATCATACCGAGACTTCTTGAAGGAAGTGGAATTAGATGAGCTTTTATAAAATAGCAAACTACATCGAAGCTAGTATATATAATTTATTAAAACCAGGGAAGCACAAAGTGCAGGTAATATACAAAATATGTATAAAGACATATGGAAAAAAAACCACCACAAGGACCTAGAAAATGAGAAGTATATCCCAACTGTGTATAACCGCTTTACAATTCATCTCGTATTTTTTTCTCCCGCTGTTCTGCCGGAATGTGAGCTTGGAGGTGTCGCCAGAAATTTGTACGATCGCCATAGATATCACGCTCCATTTGTAGCACAGTAAATTCATCGGGTGTCTTGTGACCCAAGCGTGCATAATTAACGGGATAGCCCGTGACGGGTGCCCAGGGTGTTAAGTTCGAGCCTGCAGGCGTAGGGTTTCTGTGAATATTAATTAAATAATGTAGTAAGTTGAAAAAAAAAAAATAATTGTCTACCACTCAAGGCGCAGGCCTACCCTTCACTAGCGAAGTTCACCCACATTTCCAGTATGGCCTCGCGTAGTTCAATGTCGTTTTCGCTAGGGGATGAGCTTACGAATAGTCTAAGACCCAAGGGAAAGAGGTATTGCAATTCCTCGGCATGACAGACGCCTAGAACAGAAAGCATTTTTCTAATTACTTTAAGGCACTACATATTTTGAGAGACGGTTTTTACCGAAGAAATCTTCAGGGTCTCCACCGAAAAGTTCGGAAAAACTGGCTGGACTACGATGCTCAAAGAGATATACGTAAAAGGGCGGTAACTSTTTTGAGTTTTGAGCTTCAACGCGCTGTTTGATGTACTCGTCGATACCAGCAACAAACCAGCCATCAGAGTAAAGCTGTTAGAATGTAATACAATATAGTGGAGCTAATTAAGATTCTCCACTTGTGTGTGCACTTACGTCTGTTAAATTTTGATGATTCTGTTTGTCATAGTTATGTCCCTCTTTGAAGTAGAACTGTTCTATTTGCTGTGTAATCTCATCTCGCACTTCCGGCTTGTGATGGTCGTATTGCAGTGAAATTGGTAGAATCTTTTGAAATTGGTTTTTGAAATCAGTCAAAAGCCCAGGTACGGTAAGTAAGGGCACAGTTCTGATTAGTCCTTCCTCCGAGGTAATACCAATTATAAGTGGTAAGGAGAAGCCGTGTGGCATGCCACCATCACGTGGTAAGACGGTAAGGAAGGCACYCTCATGTGGAGGCTCAACAACAGGTTGGAATGGCATCATGGGATCAAAGTCCCATTCCTAAGCATAGTAACACATAGAGTCATAGTTTTGTTGTTCACACCATATATGCATAAGTTTGATTAAAACTCACAAAGAACTCGTAGAGCGTAGCAACGACATCGCTGGCATCTTTAGTGCGTAAGCAGCGCAATATTTTTTGCCAATTTTCCTCAGGATTACATCCAACTAACTGTGCAACCTTCCGTGCACGCTTTGCGGGTGTACCTTTATGCTCTGGCTGCGCCCAGGGATTGTAGTATGAACCAGAATGTGCTATGGCTTTGTGGAAGAGTCCTGCAGTTAAATAAAATTCCGTTGTATAGTATTTGATGTGCAGAAACAGCATGCTAATTTGTATACTACCTTCCGATAACCTCGATACCAAATGATATGTAACGCTAGCGCCACCCGCACTAGTACCGAAAATCGTAACACTATTCGGATCGCCACCGAAAGCGGCAATATTTTGCTGTATCCAACGTAAAATCAGCGACTGATCTTTTAAACCGAAATTGCCGGGGCAATCTAAGGTCTCAGTGCTTA